ATTGTTCTAATAGATTCCAAGGAACCTGCCAGATAGTGTCGTTGGTAATTGAGTATCTGGATACGCAACACGCAGCCTACTTATGAAATGAGAAAACTACATTTAAGATTTTTATATTACCTTTCAAACATTTCATCAATTGTTTGTGCTAAAGACAGAAAAAGTCACGGATAAGTATGAAATGATTGAGCCATCACCAAAGGAGCTAATCCGTTCAGAACTCAGTTGACTGCTTCAATAGACAAGGCAGAGCGCCTCAGTGTTATCGTGGAAAGCTATGATCCAATGCATCAGTTGAACTATCCAATAATGATATAGCAGACAACAAAGCAGGCTTACTTCCAAGTTGATAAACAGTTGTATAAAATCTTCAAATCCAATCACATTAGTATACCAATTAGAAGATCAGCAAGAGATGCAAGAAAAGAAAACAACTTTACCTCAGGCTGCCTACTGACTCATCCAACCACTATATGACTAATAAATTAGCATATCCTCAAAATCAGAATGCTATACCTTCTTGTCAAGCTTCCTTCTAAGCAGCCTTTTCAGATTAGCACACTACTTTTGCTTCATTATTCAAGGCAATAAGATCCTAAAGCACCAAGGCAAATGAAAGTTTGGAAAAACAAATCCAGTTCATCTCAAAGTAGAACCTCAAGCTAAAAGGTAATGCAAGAATATTGCCAGTTGTGGTAAAAAACATCACTTACAAAATATTCTAACTACAGGACATCGAAGTAGAGTCCAAGAGGCAAACATTCTTTGCAACTTACCACAACAAACAAAAGGAGAGATGATGATAAGCACATGCATAAGATACTTCTGGCACAAGAATTTGCATTTGTCAATCCAAAATATGCATTAAAAGAAAAAGTTATATGCCAATAACCTGACCGATAGAGGAGAAAAGCCAAAATAATCTTTGATTAACATCATTTCAAGTTTCTCATTGTGGAAAAGTTCCAAAGCCACAAATTTTGACACCAATATAATTTTGAGTTAATAAATTTGAGACTTCTTACACTAGAAAACTACGTGTATCATCATTGTCATGGACAAAAATTTGAAAACCTATCCCTTGCAGAGTTATATAAGGTTCCCTTAGAAACTAAGAGGTTGAATTACATCACGACTCGTCAACCAAATCCTGGAGGTACATCTGGGTCATCATCAGTATCACCATCTAAATGCTGCTCAATGACTTCATGAAACCCAGGCTGCACATTGTTATATACACTCTGAGGCTCCAATCTATCAGGCGAGGAAGTGGTCTCTTTTATAGGTTCCACTCTTGCTTTACCATCACAAGGCCTAGACATCCGTAGTCTCTTTCCAGGTTGATCATTCTCATAGCTGCTTTTGTTGTTCCAAGCTTGACCATGTAGACTGAACCCCGGTGGTTCATTTGGCTCCCCCTCAGGCTCTCTGACATCAACTCCACTGGCTGAAACACTTCCATTAACATCATGTCTCTTGCGTAGTAGTAGCAAGTCAGAATGCAGTGGTGATTCACCATCTTCATTCACCTTGGGGTCTAATAACTTCTTGTAGACTGATTGCACAGTTTCTATTATTTCAGCTTTCATTTCACTACCAGACCTAATTATCTGCCAGACACCATCAGAAATCTTGCTCATGACTTTGTCCCTGGAATGCAGGAAAAAAAGGTATAATTTCTGAGCATCAACCAGCAATCATGGTTGATATATAACTTCTAAGAGCTTAATAGGACAACCAGATGACAGTACTAGAATAACCACATTACTTCACGTTTGTGACATGATGTAAGTTTGCATCAAATAAGACGAGAAATATCATAACCTTGCAGTGGAAAACACCATTCAAACATCTGAACATCATAAGGAAACCTACCCAATTTCTTCATGTATGGCATCAGAAAGTTGCCGTGGCTTCATGGTTTCAGCACCGGGACGGTTAAGTACAGCTGATTGCTTCACCATTGATATAATGTTGTCCCGCAGTTCAGCCTACAAAATATTGGCACGTTGATGACTAAATAGTAGCACATTTTGGTAGCATATTTAAAACCAGGAACAAGTACCCTTTTTTCCTTATGCTTCCGACAGTTAGTGTTTCAATATGTCAATTCATTCAAAAAATTGATGGCAGGTCACTTAGGCATTACAGATTCCACTTTATCTGTTCAAATCCTTGACGACAAAGGAATACATTGTTCAACTCTAAAACAGCATGCATAAAACCAAACCTCAGCACCACAGGGCAGAAGCCTTCGCAATCAGTTCCCTTCAATCAGCCATGGTACTAGTCCAAAAATTTGTTACAGGAAAACCAACGTTGAACTGATATTTACTTATTTTTTAATCTTTCACTCACCGAGGGGGCTTCTAATGTTGAATATCAGATAAATTCCAACTTTCCCGTGAATGTAACCGTCTATGTCTGATCCATATCGATCAATTAACCTTTTTACTGAATCATTCCAAAATGACAACAATATAAATCCACTAGAAATCCTGCAAGGACTCCGTTTGTTTTTTGTTTTTCTTTTTTTTTTGGCACAATAGAAGAATTCTAATTTTTCTAATATGAAGCATATTATCTAGTCTGCAATCATTCAGGAAACAATTGCATCACATCATATCACAAACAGGCAAAATCTCATCATAGCCCGAACCAATACATAATTCATCAAAGTTTTTTTTTTTTTTTTAAATCGTAATTCGTCAAAGTTGAAAAAGCATAATCTTTGAGACATATATCATAAATTTTTTACAAGAAAAAAATTGTATGCTTACATCATCTTTGAGTGTGCGAATAATCTTGAGACGTAGCTTATCGAAATCGCCGTCGTCCTTGAGCTTTGTTAACACTTCGTCTCCACTAATTCTCGCCTTATTATTATCCATCATCGATACCTTTTGTCCTGCTCAATATCTACTGGAAGAAATCCGCAGAAACAAATTCACATACATGTGTGTGCCCGTGAGTGTTCTTGAGACGTTGAAGAACGATCTCTGGGTTTGTTTTTACGTGGGAGAATTGACGAGGAAATGCAGAGGTTTAAGGACTAATAGGACAAATGAAGGGAACAAAATTGGGACGGTCAATAGGACCGGCCAGCCCGAACTCGGCTTGTTTGGCCAAAAAAGCCCAATAAACCTGACATTTTAGTAAGCCACTGTTAGATTGAATCTAATCCAAAATTAAATATGAGCCGAGTTGAGTCTCATTAAACTCAATTCAATATAGGTTTAGCACTTAAATTCTTATATACATATATATAATGATATATATAATATTTATATTTTGATATTATATATAATTATATATCTAAATATATTATTACTAAATATTAAATATATACAAATTATAAAATACAAAAATACATTTGAAAACTCCTCTATTATCTTTCTTGAGAGCCAATATTAGTAATGCATAATTGAAACTCTTAACTTTTTCTATTGGTTGAGTAAATTTTTGTATTGGCATAATATTGGTTGATTTCTTTTTTGTCTAGAAACACAAATCATCAAGCATGTTTGGATTTAAGCCACAAAGTCATGAAGAAATTCCAACCTTTAAAGATGTATTGGATTTATGACCGCGTATTTTACTACTATTTTCCATGTACTTTGAACGAATTAGATATAAATATTATTGAAAAATTCTTGGTTTATGTAATTTTTAAGAACTATTACTTGTTCATGTTTAGTTTTAATGTTGTAGTCATGTGAATGTTAAACTAGTTTTATAACTTAATAGTTATAGTAATTATACTAAAAAAATTGAGAGTAATAAGTGAATTTGGGTTAAGCCAGAATAAGGCTCAAAACCTGAATATTTTGTGAACTGAGTGTGATCATCGCATTAATTAACCGAATCTCACAACCCGAAACCTAAAAGTATTACAAATTAAATGTGTTGAGTCTAAGTTTATGAAAACTCGGCTCAAATGGCCCGATTGACAGGTCTAAACAAAATGTCCTAGGCTTTTAGTGTGCCAATTGAGAAAATTTTACTCTTTTTTAATTTACTTTCAGAAGAATGGAATTTTTATAGGCAAAGTTTAAATGGTAAATAATAGGGGTACATGGTCATAAGACAGTACGATCATAAATAAATCTTTTTTATATTTTTAGTGAGTAAGATCATGAGTAAGTTAGAGAGGTTTTTTTAATTACTAATTTGTAGGGGAAAAAAGAAAAAGGTTTGCTTATGTGATGATATGTTTCTCACTTTTTCTTTTATGATGAGTTAGTACTTAGTAAGTAATTTTATAATCTCATAGTTATTAAAATCCATTTTATTGCGCATCCTAACAAAACATTTAATTTAAAAAAAAAAAAACAAAAGGCTGGTTTATATGCATGGAAATACTCTTACCAAATACACTTAAAGGGATTCAAGAACAGATATGATAATTCATGATAAGTTTAAATGTTCTAAATACATACATTCATAAACGATACGGATCATTATGGGTGTTCTTTTTAGAACAAAAAATAGTGATATATCTTTTCAAAAGAGTTATGAATGGAAAACATTGCATTATTCACCAAGACGTGAAAATATCAGTAGCAGAGTATTTCCGCAATTTAAAACAAAAGGACGGGGGAAGGATTAGGTAATAACCATTTTCCAGGGGTTAAAATTCGGCTGAAAAGTCGAGTGCCACAAAACCAATTCTGGCTAAAAATGTGAAGTCCATAATTTTTGCAAATTAAAGTAACAAACAAAGAGTGAGATAAATGCATACACGCAGGTCAGGTCGCGTTTCAGTAAGCGTTGGGGTTTGCTTGGTAAGAGTCCAATATGAGGTTCCTCCTACCACTCGCACAAATCCCATCTACATGATCGACCACCATAATCATCAGTGGATTTTCAATCTTCATTCATCCGGTTTGAATTGAATAATTCTCTCATCAAATTTGTCGAAATTACACAACCCTCTGCCTTAGCTTTTAATTGTTCTCATAAGATGGAAGACAAGTCATTGCAGCGAGGAGCTGACGACAGACATCAAGAAGGCCAGCTTACTTCATACATATTCATAGTTACATGAAAAAACAACCCAGAATAGTCCAACAGCAGAACTGTACCCTCAACCAGTAGGCTCCAGATACACAGAGACCAATTAATCTGATACTAAAATCCATCAAGTGCCTTATAATGTATCCAATATGCACATCTGTTCCTATGTATGCAAACAATAATCCTAGCTATACCCTTTGAAATAGTAACTCAGGCAGCTATCTAATCAAATCTCGTCCGCATTACAACCATTCAACATAAAACACCAAATACTCTGCTCTTATCAGCAACAGGAATTGCATAGCCATCAGCTTGAGCTGTTATCCTCTTCAACCCCTCCATCAGTACAGTATTCAGACTGAGCATCACCTTCAGCCATAGTTTTATCAACCAGTCCACCACCACAAGCCATATCAAAAGGACAATTATCAAATCTTGTACAGTAGGAAATATTCCCAGTTTTCTTTTTTTGAAAAAAAAAGAGAGGACATCAAACTGACAAAACGTATCTAGGGTTATGGGCAGGCAACAGTCATTTTCTGTACAAGTTTGTTACCACCCATACAAAAAATTTACTAAAAAGATGTTCGCTAATGATTCATATAATAGGTCAACACTATAATACAATGTTACAACAGTTAACTCCTAGTTCCAGGAATTACAAAATAAGTAGTAACTCCATAGCAAAGCCATTTTGTGCAAAAAGAACAATTCTAACTCGGGACATTTTCAGTCTCATCATTGGGCTAACTACAGCAGTCTTTTCTTAGAAAAAGCAGTTATCGTCTTGGGGACTGTGACGAGGCCTCTTCTTTGAACTGCTGCCCAACTTCCTGCAAATTGTGTGCCCTACATTATAAACACATCTGCCTTGCAAAGTGACCATTTATGGAAAATGTAAATAGCCTTACACATCATCAAAACGTGCAGCTTTAACTGATGATTTTTGAATGTTGGAGGCTGGCACAGCACCCTGTCAGATAAAGCATCATTGCACACGGGTCAGTTTGAAATCATAGTATGCAAAAATAAAGAAAAGTAAACAAGAGCAGATCAATACAACTGCACAAATTAGGTGGGGGAGTCTGTCAGTTCAAAGAATTCTCAGCCCATACACTCAGCAATTTTGATTTTACTATTCCATACTTCTCCAACCATACACTAGAACATTCAATTGCAAGTTCCAACCAGATATATCATTTACTCATACTTATATCATATATCTTCACTGGCGAAAGAGTCTTTTGAGGAAACAAATCTCCGATATCCTAAAATAGAACATCAGCATGGCTTTAGCAACATTCATGATTTTAATTGCTTGTAATAAACCAATGTGCTCATGTCAGGATTCATATGCAGCCCAATCATGTCCTTTAGGAAAGAAGGTTCCAAGAAGACAGGAGTTCACATAAGCCTGGTCTAATTAAACTTGTCGATCTTTCAAACCGTAGTAACTCACACAATATATTCATCATCTCATTCTCTACTATATACTTAAATGTTGCGGTACACAGAATACTAACCGACTGGTATAGTTTCTTGTTGTGTCTGCTATGAGCTTCAAGGTACTCTTCATATGTCTACACAATGAGATAACCAAAAAAAAAAAAAGTATCAGGAAAACAATCTAAAATGAAAAGGCACACCAACTGTAATATCATGAATATTCAGGAAGAGTATAGCAACCACCAAAATGCAATGCACAAGAAACAAGGAACAATAATAACAGGAGTGCGACAACATTTCAAAGAAACCATTGCAAAGCAACATCTTTACAGGGTATTATCTTGTTATCTAATCTTTACTTAATCTTTGCTTTTGTTTTATATTGGGAGGAAAAATTTTTTGGGATACTTCATTTTTTCTTTCCTTGGGAAGGTGGGGGTGGGGGTAGGGGGTTAGGGCTTGGTGAGGAGCTAATGGTGTAAAGAGAGGAAACTGTAGCTTAAGCAAATTATGATGATCAATAAGCTAAAAGAATATCAGCCATCAGGTAACCAAAATCATTACAATCTCAGCTTTCTTAGAGAAACATATGGACAAGATGCTAACATACCAATAGCAAATTACAGTTGATTAGCTACAAAAAACATAGTTTAGGTACCTAGAAGTATTCATACAAGTTCATGGAACAGATTCAGAATATCAGATACAGAATGTTAGACAATTATAACACAATACACTCTAGCCAAGAAACTAAGACAAGACAATGCCTCTATTCATTTTTTCCCCGCTTATTCATCTCACAGCTGAAAAAGCAAGAGCAGCTATTGAGAACCACAATTTTGTCACTATTAATGTTCCAGAAGTACCCCTTGTCCTAATGTTACTTAAATTCAAAAGGGTAAAGCACCCATTCTCAAGGGAATTAAATTATTTCAACAAGGATTATATGCTATAGCAGTACTTTTCCCAAATTAGCAATTTAAATTTCAGTAACAAAACCATACCATTTCCAGGAGATCATCTTCAGTCAAACTACTAGCAAGGGGGCTCCTTTCAGTTGACTTTCCCCAACCAATAAACTGAGCAGATGTATCACTGTCAGAGCGTACATTCCCATGGCTTCCAGCTGCAAAAGGTCATGGTGAAAATGTAAGCATTATTCTTCTCAGAAGGAAGAACGAGAATCTCGAAATATACCACTTGGTCTCTGATATCCTTGGTCAAATCTACTAGCTTCAGCTTGATGGTGGTAGACTAATGAGGGATAAAGTGTGGGTGCCATGTGCACTGAAGGCACAAAGTCTTCAAATCTTAATGAACCAGAAGGCTCCACACAAGGCCTCCTCAAAGGAAGATCAACCTTGGAGAATTCAACCCTGCATCACCTTGGTACAGCATATAAACTTGCTAACAAGTAATCTGCAGTATGCTCATATTCTAAATTGAAAAAATGTTAACCTTTTCAAACCGACATCCACATCATCCTTCCCGTCAAGAAGCTCACAAAGGGCTTCACCAATATCCTGAGGTAACTCCTAGAAGATCACATGAATCAGAACGCCCTATCCAAAAGATCTCCCAATTGACCAAAGGACAGGCAGTTTTACACACTAAAATTAGATGGGCATTAAGTAGAAGAAACTATAACTCATACCTGGCAATCTCTACTAATTTTAACAGGCTTATATTGATTCAATGGATTTTTTAGATGCAGAGTCTTTTGAAAAGGCAAATCATGTAACTGCAGCCATTTGACTTTAAAAGTGCGACCCCAAGGATTATTTCCACCAGTTCCTTGGCTCCAAACATTGTCTCGTCTCCAACCAATGGAAGACATCATTTGGGCATACCCTTGGAAGAACCCACTCATGTTGACACTGAAAATTAAAATTACTTTTCCAGAGTTCTGCAAAATAAGTACAATCCTCCTTTAAAGAAAAGTAAGAAAATCTTCATGAAATGTTCCAATAAACTGAAAGGAATCCTTACACGAAAGGCTTCTTCAAGAATAGGCTCATTCATGACTTGAGTAGCCCAAATTCCCTTCTCAATTGACAACTCAATATTTTGGTGGTTCAAACTCTTGATAATGAAGTATCTTGTATTGCATGGTTTACCCTTTTTAGTTTCACTACAATTTTGACGCTGTTCACAAGAGTGAACTTGCTCGTCTGCTCCAATTTGACAGCCATCCTCATTGGATCTATAGCTATGGCTCTCTGACAAAACTATTACAACTTTATTCATTTGAATGGCTAATGCAAAGCAACAAAGGTATGAATTGTTTTATCCATAGCCCCAGTGTAACAGATAAATAAACTTCATCAGGAGCAGCGGACTTTAGTAACCACATCCATTACAGTCACCAACTATGTGCAACTTGACATATCACATATTTACATTTACCAATCTTCCCTGTAAAGGAAAAATCTAGGAATAATGTATTCGAGCAAAGGAAATAAAAGAGCCTGACAAAACCAATCTTGTAATGAACCATTCAATTTTAACAAATAATTGAGGTTTTTCTCAAACAAACAAAACTCTAAAGAATTTTTCTTCCCCTAAACATAAATGCATGTTTCATAAACTCAATAGCATGTTCCATGTCAAATATTTTCAGCCCAAAAATGCTAATTTCCTATCGTGCTTTCATGTCGCATCAGAAATTCATCGCTCAACCTAAACATGGTCTTAGGAGATAGGAGCCAAAGTAACTTAAAAAAGCATTCAAATCCATGCTGGAGGTTGCTAGGCCAATTTTCTCGCACCTAATTAAATTGGGGATTTTGTACAAGGTTCTCACTCATTACTCAAACCTGGGTTCCAGAAAGGAGTGAAAAGTAGCAATTCACATTAAGAAAAACAAAACCCTCAATCAGAAAACGTGCCAAATCCACCTAAAGTCTCAATAGGAGGACCCAATTTGGATAACAGAAATTCATCAACAGGTCAGAGATTTCTGAAGCAAAAGACAAACCTTGAAAACAGACACATTTTAGCATATGCAATAATCTAATGCATCTCAGGAAAAAATAGGTGAAAAGAAAAAGAAATTACAGAGGGAAAAAGAGAATGACAGGGAAACAAAGTTTTCCATTATAAGCATATTACATGTGAATCAACTAATCTAAGAATACCCATTTTTGCCTTTTTATGGTAAGGGGGTAATGTTTGGTCTAGGATACTTTGCAAACTCCAACTGACAAAACATGCACATAATCATGAAAAGTCAGAACTCAGATGCAGCACAATCATCTAACATAATGCTGCTGACATGTAAATTATTAGAATTATTTGTACCTGGACCATCCAGATTCCTGTCATTTTTCCATTCAGTCACTGATGAATCAACTACAGATGCATTTTCTTTGGCAGTATCAGATGACATGTCTTGTTGACCACCTATACGATCAGGTATCAGATGAAGGGAAACTGAATTTAATATCAAGGAATATCATTATGGAGCCAGAAGCTAGAAAATAACCACGAGAAATTTTCAAAAATCAACCAACAAAACATATCATGGAAAGAACCCAAGTAAACACATCCTTTCTGGTGGAACTATTACCAAAAGCTCATGCTAAAAAACATATAATCTTGATTATAAAAACGTTAGCAGGCACATGCCAAACTATTGCAAATTAGGCTACTATAGAAGCAAGAAAGCCAAAATATTACAAATCTACAAAATTATACTGCCCAAGCAATGGAAAAACTCAATCAAGCACAACAGTAATACAAATTCCATCTCTACTTTTCTAAACAAAAGACCATGTATAAAAGTAACTTAGTAAGATTATGCGCATCAATATCAGTAGAAGGCAATCCCTATAGTCAAGCAACATCAGCCTCACAGAAGGAAAAAATGAGAAACTCCGATAGTCAAGCAATTGTCACTAAGGAAGATATGAGAAACTTGCAACATCAGCCTCGCAAAAGCAAATCTAGATGCCCCTCTTTGTAGCTTAACCTCTTCAATTGTCCATAGGACGAGAACTAAAGCTGTCTTTGGTCTCCAACAAAATTGGAATTGGAATTGGAATTGCAAGTTACTCAGATTACATACTAAAAGCGATTCCATTTACAATCGGTTCCGAAGTTAGAAACTCAACACAACCAAGAAAACTCGCAAACCTGCCTTGTTTCCAGCTGTTACTAATTTCTGATAACCTGACTTAATTAGAAATCTTTAAAGTGAGATACATTCAATGCCAAACACTTACTAATTCAACAAGTCCCTCAAGACAACAACATTTCCATAACTCTCCTCGAATATTCTTGTTAAGCAGTCAAAACATTTCCATCCTTTTCCCAATTTTCAATAACTCTTATACCTAGAACCACCAGCAAACCAAAGATCAGCCAATGACACCATATAAATCCTACAAAACCATTTCTTCCATAATTTTGCCACTAAGTAAAAGCTAAAACCTTCCCCCCACCCCCTCTTCCTCAATAACTTCCAATCACGCTAAATCCTAACTTCCAATCACGCTCCATGAACAATCCACCTCCAGATTACGCCTATTTAAACCCTTAAAACCCAAGTAAAGAACACATTTCCAATAAAAGAACATCTCGAATTAACCATAAAATCCATTCCGTCATTCATTAGTCCCTACTTAAACATTAATTACTAGAAGCAATAATTAAGACCAAAAGTTATCAAATTTTTCAACATACTTGATACGAATATAAAAATCATGCCAATAAGAAAACAAAGGCAGATACAATTCATACTACATACAAATGCTGAATAATACATAAAAGTCGTTAACAACTTCAGAGCCGGAGAAAAAAGCTTACCTGATTAGAGGCAACAAGAGAGTCGGAACAAAAACTTTGGGGAATTTCGGAAGAAGCAGAGACAGAAAGCGAATGAACCTTTTTCTGGGAAGATTTTCGATAAAGCTCTCAGCCCTAGTCTTTTTCCAGTGATAGTGGTAGAGTGAAACAACGAAACCTCTTCTTAGGCCCCAACAGTAACACAAACCGTTTTTCTCTGTTCAAAATTGAAAAACGGAAAAAAAAAAAATAAGACAGGTATTAGTTTCTGAATTTTTTGAAGGGTTAATTACAATTGCCTCCTCAACATTAAGGAAAGTCACACTTTTCCCCTGTGGAGTATGGAGCATAGAAGAAACATGATTTTGTTTAGGGGTGGCAATTTTCGACACGACCTGAAAACACGACACGAACCTAACACGAAATTAATGGGTTTGGATTGAGGTTTTGGGAATTCGGTCAGAATCGGGTTGGACCCGATGAACCCGAAAAGAAACATGTCGATTTCGGGTCAACCCGTTGGTGACCTGATATGACCCGATATACCCGTTTACGAATTAAAAATAATTTAATAAATATAAAATAATTTTATCTAACTAACCTAAGTATTCTTTTTTTCAAAGGCATTAATTACTTAATCATAAATGAATTTATTTAATTTGGTGAAGTTGAAATTATTATATTTGGACAAATAATATATTATATTATTTTTTACTTTTATACTGTTTTAATTTATTTTATATTTTTGGGATAAAACACTTTTACGGTGTTTAATTTATTTTAGATTTGGTTGGAATTACTTATTTAAATTTTTATTACTTGATTATGTAATTAGTTTGTGAGAAATTGATTTTATTAGAAATTACAATGATAAATTAATAAATTAAAATTAAGTTTCGGTCATTTCGGGTCGACCCCGCCAACCCGTCAACCTGAAATTTTTCGGGTTCGGGTCAGCATACCTGACCCGTCACGGGTTGGCGGGTCGGTTCGGGTCAACAGATTTTCTGGCGGGTTGACCCGAACCCGACCCGCCAACCTGATTTGGACCCGAATTGCCACCCCTAATTTTGTTGTTGTTCGATTGGCTTTTGAGCAGGGAATGAAAAGAATAAGGAGGGAAAAGAGAGGGGAAGGCTCTAACTATTTTATTTTGTTAAATTATATTTTCTGCCCAAAGTGGCGAAACCGGAAATTAATTGAAATGAATTTAAATATTTTCAAAAAGATCATTTTGTTAGATTTCACACACGAGAAAAGCGATTGAAAATTACAGCATGCTTAAGTGATAAATATAAATGTGAGAATATTTAAAATCAAGGAATTATATCATTTTAACTTTGTTTCCTTATACTATATAAGATTGAATTTTGGTCAAAAAATAGGTTGAATTTCAGGTGGGGTTTTCTGTGAATATGAAATATTGTGTACTAGTTTAAAAACTTTAGATACAAGTTAAGGAAGCATGTATTTGGATATTTACTGAAATGACCCCATTTTAATACATTTAAAATTGAGTGTGTTTGGATTGTAAGTTATTTGAGATATTTTTTACTGTAGCACTTTTTGTGATGTGATGTATGTGAGATAAAAAGATAATAGAAAGATAAAAAGGTGTATTGGAAATTGTAATGGTGATGTAAGCAAATATTTTTGGCCAAATAACTCACAATCCAAACACACTCATATTGTCATTGATGAGATATCTGGATATTGATGGAATTGTAATTAGTGTGCATCCGTTCTTTACATTTTGTACAAACTCATATATGCTTGTGTGTTGATATAATTATCGAAATATCCCTTAACTATCAATAATTCCCCTTTTCAACCACAGATAAACCGTTTGAGATGTTACTTTGTCTGAAACGTTTGAATGGCAATCGATTTAGGAAATATGAGCCAACAATTTCTCTATCAATGATAGAAACTCATTTCTTTGTCATTATAATTTGCATTTATGAGTCACAAACGTTTAGTCAGTTTATCCCCTTTCACCTTCAAGAGTTAAGTTTTTCCTTTTGCCTTTGTCTACAAATGATTTCCTTATCGTTTTCTCTTCCATCTAAATTCAACTCTGAAATTACCTATTATTTCGTCATTAATTATACCAAATTCAATTGCTGAACTGTTGGTATGTTAATGCCTAAACGGTTGATTATCAGTTTCTCTCTGTTCGCATTCTAAGATTGAGATAATTCTACCTGACTTCATACTAATCAGCTTAAAATACTCTTCAGTCCCAGCTACTCCTGGTGGTTCAGCATGAGGTTAGATTTAATCCCTCCTCACAATTTTTCAGTTCCTCCCTTAATTTTGTCGGTGTGTTTTTAGTACCTACAATTAGCGACTCTTTTCACGTTGCCTAACCCAATTGGTCTGGATTGGTTATAATCTTATAGGTTTGGAGCAACAGCAAGTAAGAGCTCTCAGTGGGGATTTTGAAATAAAATTAGCTTTCTGTGTTACTCTGCCTTTATGCATTATCAACGACCTTCAATTTGACACAGTTTTATTGTAACGCTGTGTGAATTGATTGATTATATCGTTTATTTTTTTATGCTTAGTTTTATTTCTTCTCACAATGTACTATTGTTTGTTCAACAAAAAAATCTCTTTCCCTACAGTCACCAAACACCGGCGCGGTGTGCGGGCACTCCCCTTAGTCTATCATATAGAATCGTGTATCATATAAAATGACATTTTTTTCCAAACAATAATTACATGTAATCTGTTATCTTCTAAACCTTGCAATGCCAAACAATTTCATTTGAGTACATCATTATTTTTCACGCGTATGGTAACCTTTCCTCTACCTTGTGAGGTATAGAAATCGTTTCTTTCCTAAATTGGAAAAAAATTTTAAACACAAATTCTTCTTAGTAGTATGCGATATACATGAAACTGTAGTCATTCTCAAGCAAGTCGGAGCTAAAATTTATGCTATGCCAACTAATGAACTAGCGTATTTCGAATTAGGGAAGGAAGAGATTTAATGAGCGAGAAGAGAAAATAGGGAATTTAAATACATAATCTCTAATTGTTGAAATCTCAACCTCAGTCATCATCGGATCAAAACCTTCTTGACAACATATAAATATATAGTTTGATACAAAAAGCTGGCTGTTATAACTAGAATCATCTCTAACTTTTTTTTATCTCTTTTTTCCCTCGCTCTCTCTCTCTCCCTCTCTCTCTATTTTCTTCTTTGAACATATTATTTCTAATTTTTGACATCTCAATTTTAACCACTAAATCAAATGTTCCTTGATAACCTATGACTATATAGTTAAGATACAAAAGCTGACTTATATAATTAGAATCATCTCATCTTCTTCTCCTTCCTCTCTCTCTCTCTCTCTCTTCTTTGTCCTCCCACCCAAGCTTCCAACCTAGGCCTCAGGGATCAATTTGTTTGCATGGCTAATAGTATGGAGATGTACCTGAAATTCCCCCTGATCAAGAGCCCGGAGTATAAGTTCAAACTTCAAAGTTCACTAATATGGACACAAAATCAAACATTCCGTTTTACTACATATTCTGGCAAGAAAAAGATAGCAAAAAACTATAACAAAATCCCTACCAAATTTTGGATGCTTGATTTAGGTGTCACCAATCGTCAAGAAAACAAAAATCAATTCTTTTATGTTGTTCAAGTATTTCTGCATTTTGAGTTGTCGGAAATTGATTGTCAGCGCTGAGCGAGAATTCTTATATAATCAGTTGTTGCATCAAATGGACTGCTTCCGCTACAATCACGTGACGGATTATGGCAAATGAATAGCAATCGTCCACCACCGACTTAGGAAACTTGCACTAGTATAGTTAACTATATATTGGCATTGGGTGAATCAAAGTTTTAGCTCCTTGAACTCTCACCCCACCAAGCCTTAACGGCTGCCTATCGTGTTACCTCATTTGTGAGGATGTACACTAAACGAGTGAAGGAGTTAGGCTTTACTTGCGTCGTTGTGTCAAGAGTTGATCAATTATGTAATCTTACCCAACTTGATACTCAATATAGGTCAAGTATAATCCTTTATTGAGTCGTTGTATAATAGAAATTTATCCATTTAAAATGAAAACGTCCACACAAGATATGATTTCGACGTATAAAGAGTTGCCAGGAAAAGGAGGACATATAAAGAGTTGCACTTGTACGTCCATAAAAGTGGAAAAGAACTCTGCTTTGTACCCGTGTAATTAAAAGCAAATTACACGCAGTAAATCTTTATTAGTGGACAACATTTTGAAATCATTTGTAAGGAGAGGTAGACAAGACATGAAAACAGTTCATCTAAAAACGTTCAAGTACTTTCTTACAAATGCTATAATGGGACATTTTCCATGTAATTCTTGTTACAGAAAAGGTAGTTCAGCGGTAAAAGGCTTCTTTTTTTTTTTTTTTGGGCAATTCAGTGGTGAGAGGGCATATTTTAACCTGAGTGCAAGTAAATTAGTTTTCATTACTACAGTTACAGATGCAAATTCTATCAGTCTCACTACTGTCTTATTCAATGGCCAGTGCTGCTTCCATATCAGATAGATCGCATATCTCTTTATTTCTCAATATATTCCCTAATCTTCCAAAAATTAGTATTACTTCTGTCTGCCGTAATGATTTTTTAAAGGATCAATCGTATGAGGTGGCTGTTTTTGCAGTTGCCAAGTAATATAAATAAAATGTTTATTATTTCTTTTTCTTTTTTTTTGTTAGACCTGTAAATGAAATTCCGACAATCACAATTAGCGAAATAGAAGTCCTTGACTTTTTAGAATCATAGTTGGCAAAAGTTCAGAGTGAGAGAGTGAGATCCGGTGAAAGATATGGGTGAAACCTATTATCGTTATTAGAGGTCTAAACGAGTTTAATCAAATCGAACACTCTCGTGCTCAAGTTCGTTTGCTTATTTTAATGAGTTTAAAATTTTATTCAAATTTTATTTGTTTTTCTTACCAAATCGAATTTGAACAAATATTTTATCGAATATAAAATGTTATTGAATCTTGATTTGGCTAGTTGGCGAATCAAATTTTAACTAACTCTTATGAAACCAAATTCGATTTAAGTATCAAGTAATTGATTTGTCTTCTTTTTTTTTTTTTTAATAATTTGACCGTTTTGTTGGAATGTCATAGTCATGATAACTTCTGTCAGTCCACATACGAAATTGGTTGACCTTAAATTTTGC